CCCGAAGGCGGTGGGGGGGGGGGGGGGTCTGGTCGCCATCCCCGCGAACATACCTGTCAGCAGAATTCTTTGGTCCGGGGGAGCTGTCAGGGCCTTGCTTCCGTGCCCTCTCCAAGCCGGCGGAGTTGCGGGCCTCTCTTCTCCGAGGTCTGGCTGAGCAGGCAGCGCCGCACCGGTCCCAATGGCTCTGGGGTCAGCGGAGGAAGCCCCTGCCCCGACGCGCCCCTTCATTCCCAGGGACAGCAGGCGCCCTTTGCACACCCACTTCTGCAGCTTCCCGACGCTGACCGCGGGCGGCCTGAAGGAGCTCTGGGGGGCATGCGGGCGGCTGCAGGGGCACGCTGCCGGGAGCCCGCCTCCGGCCGCTGCCTCTTGTGGCGCGGAGCCCTGGGCACTGAGCAGCAGCCGCTCGGCCTGGCACGACCCCGCGCTCCGGCTCTCCCCGCAGCTGACCGAGCACTCCGCGGCCGCAGGAGCATCGCTTCCCCCGCGGCCGCCGTCCGGCCGCCCCTGGTCCCAGGCCGGGCCAGGCGGCTCGCCCTGCAGCAGGTGCCCCAGGCCGGGCTCCACGGAGTGGTAGCGGATCACGCTGTCGCTCAGACACCGCTGCAGAGGCGGTGGCTTCGCGGGGCGGCCGGGGGGCAGCAGAGGGAGGCTCCCCAGGCTCTGAGCCCCGCGCCCGGGAGGGACCAGCTGGCCGGGACGCCCTGCTGAGCCCTGTCCGGGCGGTGGCAGCCAGGCGGTGGCGGACACCTGCTGCTGCGGGCTGCCCTCCCCGGAGGAGGAGGACCAGGCATCGCTGCTCTCCGCGGCCCCGCAAGAGGCGACGGGCTGCGGGAACCCTCCAGCGCAGGCGGGGCTGGCCGGGGGCAGGTCGTGCATGGCATGGATCAGCAGGTAATAGGCCTCCTGCAGTTGGCTCTGCAGCCTACCCGTGCTCTCCCGGGGCCCGGCCAAGCGGCCCTCCCCTCGGCCGCGGGCACAGGCGGCCGGTAGCCCCTGCGCCTCCTCCCGCGCCTCGGCCGGGCGGCAGCCCCAGGGCAGAGTCTCATTATCGTAGTAATCGCCCTCCTCGCCGTCAGGAGCCCGCCGCGCGGGAGCGGACACGGACTGCGGGGATGGATCCCCCGGGGTACAGCCAGGGGGGGCCGGGGCTCCTGATGTCCCTTCCCCCAGAGCTGCGGGGCCACGCGGTGCCTTCCCCCGGCGGGACCAGCCTGGCTGCCACTGACCAGACTCCTCCTGGCTCCCAGCCCCCGGGGGCGCCGAGACCTCCCGGCTCCTGGGCTGAGCGCACGGCGCCCCCCTGGCCGGTGGCTGCTGCTGGGCTTTACCTTGAGGGGCGCCGGTCCCCCCGCGGGGGTGCGCGCCTGCCGCCGCCCCGCGCTGGGACCTCCTGCCCCGCAGCTTGGAGAGGGTCCTGCGCAGAGGATCAGCCATGTCTGCCCCCGCCCCGCCTGCCTCAGTAGCTGCTGCCCGCCAGCAGGAGGGTGCTGGGCGCCCCCCTGCGCGGCTGGTGGTGGCGGCGGCGCCCCATAGTCGGGCGGGCTCGGTGTGCGCCGCGCTCCCTCCCCGCAGCTCGACTCCTGCCGCCGCTCACATACTTGGCATAACTGAGCGGGGTGAGAGGGCGCCCTGCAATGCGCATGCCTTGCTGCCCGCCGCGGAGCGCGCGCGCCCGGCTCTCCCCGCACGGGCTCCGAGCTAGGGGGGCCGGGGCGGCGAAGCCTCCTCCTCCCCCCCCCGACCCGGCTCTGGGCGCTACCTGCTGTCCCAGCACATGCACACGACTGAGGGGGCACCGAGGGGTGAGAAAGCACCAGTTCCTCCTTCCTTGCAGCTCTTGTTAGGGTCACAGCCCCTTCTGCTCCCTCTAGCCCGCTACATGCATGTGTGCTAATACCTGGGGCAGGGCAGGGGCTTGACTAGAGCATAGCGGGGACGAATCTCCTCCCCCAAACCTATACCTGGGAGGGAGAGTGAATGTGCCCTCGCCCGGCTGCACCTAGGCCGTGGCTGGAGTGAAGCATCCAAAGACGTCCCCGCTCCCAGAGCTGCACGGGGGAAGGAATACCAGTGCTGTTCATGCGTGGTACAACAAAGCGACTAAAGCACGAGGATGGTGCAGAGATTCATGACGGTGACATTGCCAGGAGGGCTTTGCTTTTGTTTACGCTGTATGAGAAAACCAAGGGAAAAGACAAACAAGTGCAACAGGTGGCCTTGAACAGCAGCAAACCCGCACTCAAAACCCTATTTGCTGAAACAGTATTGAACTAAATTTAACAAGTCCATCTTAAACTCCTTTAATTTTCTCCCTGAAAGAAAACCTGCCTCACCTTGCAGGCCACCTAACTAATGCTGACCTAGAAAAAGAGGAGGTTCTGCTTTTTTAAAGCATCTAATGCACTGAGGATTTTTTAAAAAGTTTTTGTTTTAATCCGTTTGATTACAAATATATTTACTGTACTCTGTTACTCGGGTTTCACTTGCATGGTGTCTCGCATGTCAAAATTATTAGGTCATGAAATATTTAAAGACCAGAATTTCTAATGTTCTCTCTCACCCTTCTCCTCCCCCCTTATGCCAGGCCTTCTTCATATATCCTACCTAAAAGAACAGACACATCCATAGGTCACAAACCTATTTTTTCCTCCCTTTGCACATCACCTTTAAGCTACCTGGTCAGTAAAGCCCATCTCTGTTACAGAGTTTATAATGTGGGAGAACTGTTTTTAAACATGTCTAGTCATTTGGAGAGGAGCCAACTGACAGAACCCCATTAAAGATTGGCATCAGAGTTGAACATGCTTACACCAAGGCTGAATTTGGCCCCAATTATTATAGTCTCCAAGACAAATACCATGTTTGTAAAGTATAAATGGCATTTTGAAATACCAAAAAGCATGCTTAGTCTTAGTCTAGGTCTAGTGGGTGGAAATTTCTACTTCGTAAATTAGTTACCCATACGTTATGTGAATGGTGTCTTCATTATCAAGCCTGCATCCCTACATAAAAACCATATAATTTTAAAAGAGTACCAATAGAAACATTGGCGCATCTTTTGCTGAGAGAATGGCTTCAGCAGCCTATCGTAGTCTACAAATATCCCCTAGCATTAATAGGAAGATCTTGCTGAGTGCCTTTCTTTTCTTTCACAGCAGAGAGCTCCAGGAGAGCTTATCTTAGCTCTATTTATATATCTTAGAAATGAGAACAAAAACATAACTGTACAGTGGAGAAATATGGCATATGGAACCATAACTGGGTCACACAAACGATTTCACAAACATCTAAGTAGAAGTTCCAATCTTTCTCTTATAAGTATTATTAACAAGATGAACTATTTTGTTTGTTATTCATAACACCCCCAAACTCTCCACAATTAAGCTATTAGATATGTTCTTCCTATTTTGTGGAAACTAAATTTAGGTTTGCCTGTGAGTTTAGAGAACATCGTTCTAACTTTCCACTCACAAACTATTATGGGATTTATACATCATTCTAAAAGTTTTTAAAATTAAAATGCTGAAAGAATATTGCATATAGGTGTAAATAGCACCAATCCAATAACAGCACACGTAATCCATTAATATAATGCTTTGTGTATATATGAATTAAGCTATGAGGAAAAGAAAGAGTAGAGGATATGATTGCTATCCAGTATGTACTTGACAATAGTTTATCACTTCTGTTACACCTTTGCAGCTTGAAAAAGGAACTTCTGCCATTTTTGTCCTGCTGCCTTTTA